TTGAAAACCCCTTGGTGATGTGCCAGGTTCTCAGAAACAAGTAAGTCTGATGTTTATTTATTTGAGCTGTGAGATAGGTGTGGACAGGCTGGAGAGGGAAAAGGGGAGCAGTGTTGTAAAATTCTTCTGAAATGAAAAACAGCAGAAAAGTGAGAACACAGATGAATCTGCTGATGCACAGCAGACAAGGTCTGGCTAATAAAAAGATGAGATTTGGGGTTTTATGGCACAGAATCAGCACAGAGGTTTTGTGAGGGTGTATCTAGAGCCAGTGGCGATCTGGAGGAAGCTGCTATTCCATAATTAACTGGGAATTGCCTTGCTTTGGTGTGGAACCGTGTGTCTGGCCAGGCACAGCTGTGCTCTGTGAGCAAACTTTGTCTGATGGGAGCCTCCCCAGCGTTCCTCACTGTCTGCACTGCTGGAGCACTCCCTGCTCGCTTTGCTGCAGGGTTCTGGGCAAGGAATTCCTGCCCCAGCTTCCCTGATCACTTGGCATCCGTCCTGTGCCTTCTGCAGCTCCCTGGGCACTCGGTGCCAGCCCCAGGCTGTGCCTGTGTGTTCCCTCTGCGTGTCTGCCTGTCCCCTCTCTGTGTCCCCTCTCTCTCTGTGTCCCCTTGGAGCCCTGCCTGGCCCGTGGCACCTCTGTCTCACAGTTTGGTTTCTCTCTGACTTGTCCTGCAGAGCAGGACCACCTGCTTGGCCTAAATGCACCTTTTTTACCCCAAACCAAGTAAATCCAGTGCTTTTGTTGCTGGCTTCAGCTCTTCACAGCCGTGACACTGCAGGAACTGAAATTTTGCTTTAGCCTCAGCCTCTGGTGTGTCCTTCCCGCAGGGAGCTCCCCAGCCTGAGCCCTGAGCAGGTGAGGTTAAAACTGGTTTTATCTTCTGCTCAGACTTGGTACGTGGAACAAGGAAACAGCATGCAGGGAGTCCAAGTCCCTTTCCACCTCTCTGTGGTGTGTCTGCTGCCAAAATACAGTCTCAGACCTAGAGGATGCCTTGATTGTGTTAAATCACATCATGTGCCCGAGTTCCAGAGGTGCCAAACACTTGTGGTGAAATTCCAGAGGCACCTCAAGTGGGACAGCTGGCTGAGCATCATCTCTGCTTGCAGGAGAAAGTTGGTCTGTTCACATGAGCCTGACAGCTAATTAAAATAATAAATTGATGATGGTAATTAGGCAGTGACCTTAATTTGATTCTAATCTCCTTAGTGGGTGCAACAGCCAGAGTTTTTTTGGCTCTTCAGCCATCTGTGACAGCCAGAAAGGTCCTGGTTGGCTGTGCCACCGCTCCTTGGGGAGGTGTGACATGGGACAAACCCAGGCGTGGGCTGTCCCCTCCCCAGCTGCTTTTATCACCACCCTTGTTGTGCTTCCTTTGGGAATATTCCCTTGTGCAGCAGGGCAGGGCCACCAAATTCGGGCCAGGGTGGGGAGGAGAGGCCACAGGGACTGGCTGGGGACCAGGGCAGGGATTGTCTGAAGGGACAGGGAAAGCCTAAATTATTTTGATTGTCACTGGGCGGTGGGCTCAGCTGAGCTGAGAGAAATTCAGGATCCAGCTGGAATTCTGCCTTCCTGGTTTTAGAACGTTTTTGGTTTGAGTTTGGCAAATAAGGGACTACACAGGAGGTCCTCTCACTTTGGAAAAATTATAATTTTCAGGGCTGGAAGTCGTGGGGGAGCCTGAGCTTCCTCCAGAGGGTTAATCTCTAGGTCTGCTCATTGCAAATGAGCTTTTCAACAGCGGTGCCATATCCTGAGCTTGGCCATGCCCAGTCCTGCACCAGCAAGAGGAGTTTAAAAAAACCCAAATCAGCCCAAACTGAGAGAAGAGCCCCAGGAACTCGCCAGTTGCCCAGGAGTGTCACAGCCTGGAGGCCAGGTGGGCTTTGTTTTCCCCAGTCTCTGCTTTGCCAGGCTCTGGATTCAAATATTGATGTTGAAGGCCCTTCAGCAGGGTGGGGAGGAACTGCCACAGCAGCAAATCTGATGCAGGGAATATTTTTGGTGTGCTTCAGCCAAAAGCTATATGCAGTGCTTTTAAAGGAAACAGTGCCTGCAGGGGAGGTGTCTGGATCCCACTGCCTGCTGCTTTGGGGGCTCATGGCCAGTTTTCCCTGCCCTGGCAATAAGCTCTTTATGTCCTTCTGTCCTGCCCAGGTTAACCCTTGGATCTACTTAAGGGATGAGCTGTGAAAGGATTTTTTACTGACTCACAGGCAGTTGGGTACCTCGGGAAGTGGAAGCTTTTCAGGAGCAAATTTTCCTGTAGGAAAACCTTTGTGCTTAAAACCTTTTTTATTTGTGGTGGAGGTTCCAGAGCAGAGACTTCTCTTCCTGGCCTCTGCTGGAGGAGCTTTTTGCTGGAGAAGAGGCAGAGGTGGAGGTGCAGAGTGGCCTCTCCCTGGCCAGGAGGCTTTTCCTCCTGAACTTGCACCTGGGCTTTCCCCTGCCCTTTGTGTAAATCCTAATCTTATCTCCAGCTCTGTAAAGCCCCGGCCTCCCTCGGCCTTCTGTGTTGAACACACGTGTGTGCACTGGGGGTAATTCATGGGGGAAGGTGAGTCCTGACACAGGTTTCACTTCCAGCCTTTCCTCTGGATCCCAGCCTGCAGGTGGTGGGTTGTACTGAGTGCACCTGCCCCATGCTGAGTGGGGTTTATCTCTTTTGTTTTATCTCTTTTTCCAGGACTTTTCAGCTCCTGAGGAGCTGGATTTGCTCTGGAGGGCTGTAAAAATGCCTGAGTCATGTGGTGGGACACGGGGCTGATAAGGAGCGATATCTGCCAGGTAGCTTTAGGCAGCAGCAGAGTTTATCTTCTCCTCTTTGACACTCCTGTTGCAGAATCAAAGCATTCCAGGAACCTCTGATGGTCAGCTGTGCCATTAAGTGCAATGTTAATTGCTGGGTAGAAGCAAGAGGAGCTGGGAGATGCCTTCTCCTGTTTTTTCTTGGACCAAGCCCTTTTCTTGACACAAACCCTCTCTCTCTTTAGGAGCAGCAGTGAGGGGGTTTTGGCCTGTGAACTGGGAGCCTGCAGCTCCCCTGGCTCAGCTTTGTTGGCCCTGGCTGAGGGAGGTGTCCTGCTGCCCTTTCCCTTCCCAGTCCCAGAGGATGAAGCTGCCAGACTAAACCTCGCCCATCTCCAGCTCTGATTTTCTTGGAGAATGAAACACATCTGCAATGACACAGGAAGGCAGATTCTTTTCACTTTGTTCTTGTGTGATAGGAAAATAATAAAAAAAACCCCAAATCTCATTTCTCTACAGTGCAAGCAAACAAAAAACCCCTCCAAAAATCCCAACCCAGGCCCCCCAGTGCCCCCAAACCTTTAACCAGTACCTGTTAACCTGTTAACCAGTTACCTCTCCTCTCTGCCCTGAGCTGCACTTTGTGGTTGTTGTGAAAATGGGAATGGCAGGTTTTTTCCAGAACAATGAATATTCCAACCTGTCTTCTCCTTCATTCTTCAAGTGAGAAATAATTGTGCTACCTTAATATTTACTCTCACAAACAAATCTTAACTCCGATTTGCAGCCACTGCCTTCCAAACCATACTGATTTAATTAATGCTTCAAGGGATCTCTGTGCCCAAATTGTCTTTTTTTATGGAACTTCTCAGGAGATACCTACATTGCTTTGCAAGTTTTAATATGTCTTTCACCTCAAGGAACCAGAATTTTCCAGCAAATGGGCAATTAACAGCTATTAAGAGGCTCTAAAATATTAGTATTCATATATTAGTGCAGTCCTGAATTGCCCTCAGCAGAAGAGTCTTTCTCAAGTTCAGTTATTATTGCAGTTACAGTAGACCGGAGCTGCTGGCATTTCCTGAGCAGCATCTGGAAGGGAGACTTCAGGAAAAACCCAAGTTCTGCTTCTTTATTTCCAATCCAGACCTGTGCTTGTGAGTGCCCATGGGCTGTGTTTCCACCTTAGGGTTCAGCTGAACCCATCATTAACTTGCTTTTGAAGTAACACCGGTGTGAGTGGGTCCTGCTGCAGAAAATTCCACTTTTTGTGGCTTTCAAGAGGCCTTTTTGCAGGTTCTGTCCTGTACTTTCACCTGTACCTGACCTGGTTTCACCTGCAGGTGTAAGCAGCTGCATTCTCTGTTTGAAGCTCAGTAACCACAGGTTGCAAAACTTGGATTTTCTGTGCTGTCCTGTGGGAAGTTTAGGTTCAAATATGTTAATATGTGTTCTTTGGAAATGAAAAATGTGGGAGGGCAATGGCCTGGCTGGTCTGATTTAAGGAGCAAATGTGGGGAAACTGTACTGGAGTGACCCACTGAGGTGTCTGACCTTTCCAGTTCCTGTGCCAGAAGAGAAGTGAAACTCATTAAAATGCAGAGTTTGTCCTCAAACCGTTCCTTCAGCATCAGGCAGCTTACTTGGAATGTTCTTCAGACAGCTGAGAATGTGGGGGCAGTTTTGGGTTAGGATGTCCAGCAGAAGGGACTGTTTCTGTCTGAAAGGCACGTGTGCCTCACTGTCCATCCAGTCTGAGCTTCCCAGATCCTTTTTAATTCAAAGTAAGTTGATGCTTTTTATTTCAAAGTGCGTTTCATAAGTTTGGGTGGTAATTCGTAATTGGACAGAAAAGTCCACGTTACAGACTTGGAGTGTTTAGTTATTGGGTTAAAAGTAAAAATAATTTAAGTGTCCTTTCTTAATTGCATAGTTTAGCCTGAAAAGGCCTTGTACAGAAAGGTAGTTAAGCATTTTGTAACTTGTTAGTAGAATGCTGTAGAACTCAGGACTTGTAATATGTCTAAGAAATAATAAACACCCGAACTATCATCTCAAGCGCCTTCAATCCCAAACTTAACAGAAGTAAAGAGGCCAAAAACCAACATACAGTGGTACCCTGTGTGAGGAGCGAACTCAGGCCCTTCGGATGATGAGACTGACTTATTTCCCTCCTAAAAAAAGCCAATTTCTGCCTTCCCTCCTAAAAAAAACCCCCAATTTCTGCCTTCCCTCCTAGGAGCCGTTGATGGGAGCGCCACGCTGACATCCCAGCTGGGTTCCTGAGCTGCTGTGTGCCTCCTGGAGCTGCTGTGCTGCAGTGAGGAGCTGTCCCTCCTTCTGGCCTGTCCCAGACCCCTCCTGTGCTGCATGCAGGTGCTGGAGACCATGGGCATCGGCAAGAACACCACCTCCAAGTCGGTGGAGGGAGGAGGCTCCACGGAGGGCAAATACGAGGATGAGTCCAAGCACCCAACCTTCTTCACCCTGCCCGTGAGTGAGCCCAGCCCGCAGGCAGGGAGTGCTGCTCCAGGTGTACAGAGCTCCAGGTGTACAAACCCTTCCAGGGAGTGCTGCTCCAGGTGTACAGACACCTACAGGTGTACAAACCCTTCCAAGGAGTGCTGCTCCAGGTGTACAGAGCTCCAGGTGTACAGAGCTCCAGGTGTACAGACACCTACAGGTGTACAAATCCTTCCAGGGAATGGTACTCCAGGTGTACAGATACCTACAGGTGTACAAACCCTTCCTTTCCACGAGCAGTCAGTGACAAAGCTCTGAATATTTGTGGATAAGCACAGCCAGCCCTGCTGGAGCTCTGTGGGATATTTTTTGGGAGCTTTGTGGGATGTTTTTAGGGAGCTCTCTGGGATGTTTTTAGGGAGCTCTCTGGGGCATTTTTAGGGAGCTCTCTGGGGCGTTTTTAGGGAGCTCTCTGGGGTGTTTTTAGGGAGTTCTCTGGGGTGTTTTTAGGGAGCTCTCTGGGGTGTTTTTAGGGAGCTCTCTGGGGTGTTTTTAGGGAGCTCTCTGGGGTGTTTTTAGGGAGCTCTCTGGGGTGTTTTTAGGGAGCTCTCTGGGGCGTTTTTAGGGAGCTCTTTGGGATGTTTTTAGGGAGCTCTCTGGGATGTTTTTAGGGATCTCTATGTGATGTCTGTCCCTAGCCTTGCTGTTACAGAAATGATGCCTTGCCATGCTCCTCATGTTCTCTAAATGTCAGAGCCAGATGTCAAGTACCCAGAGAGAAAGCTGACGTACGAGGTGTGATGGCAGAGGAAATGTTGATTTTAAAACTTAATCTCTTTCTGGTTTTGCTCCGTTTTCCAGGTTGTGATAAACGGTGGAGCCACGTCCAGCGCTGATCAGGACACCGAGGACACGGAGCTCATGGCCATCTACACCACGGAGAATGGCATAGCAGAAAAGGTCTGTGGGGCTGCCCTGCCAGCTGGGAGCTCTCCCAGCTCCTGCTTGTGCTCCCCTGGCTGGGAGGTTTCCTGTCCCAGAGCTGCTGAATTGCACATTCACATCACCCCAGGCAGCTCTGCCCTCGTGACTGCTGGTCACACACTTTGGTTGCAGCACTTGGGGCATGACTCAGGAAATGGTGGGAGCAGTTCATGCCCTTGGTTGGGATTTTTCCAGCTTTTTTCTCCATTCTTTCATTCCCCAGGCCTGTTCAGTGATGATCCTGCAAGCTGAGATGATGTGAATCTTTGTTTAAAATAAGGATGAGGGTTATGGTGGATCTGAACTTCTGAAATGTTCAGTCAAACTCGCTTTCTTTGTCTCTGAAAAGCCACAGCCTGACCCAGGTTTTTCAAATTGTCCTGACTGAAACAGGAACAAAACTCCTGATTCCAGGCAGGGGCATCGTGATGCTCCTTCCTTCAAGGCCACAGTTTCTCTTGGGGAAAGGATGGCTCCAAGGGATGCAGTTAATGCTTTCACTCCCGAATTTCAGATTTCAAACATCTCCTGAGGAGCCAGAGTGGGTCAGTGCTGGGTTTCAGGGCCAGCTCAGTCTGCCCAGATGTCTCACTCCCATCCCCACCACACTCACATTCCATGGGCAGGGTTTTGTTACCTGTGAAAGTCTTTGATGGCTGATTTTTGGAGGAGTGGAGAGGCACAATCTGATCAAAGCCTTGAGCCGCAGGTGTTTGGGTGGAATTGTGCAATGAGATAAGCCATCCTTAGACACCAAAGTGTTCCTGGTTTTCCCAAATGTGTGCTTCCCTCCCTCCCAGCTGATCCACGGGGTCAGAGCTGTGGCTGGTGGAGAATAGTTCACCTAAAAGAGACCTTGAGTTTAGAGTGAGCAGATCTCCCTAAGTTAAAGCTTTGCTGTGGCTCCCAGTGAAGGAACAGGGTGGGGAGCCCTGGCACTGGATGCCCAGAGGTGCCCAAGGCCAGCCTGGATGGATGGAGCAGCCTGGAACGGTGGAATTGTTGTTTTTATTGTTGTTTTCTCCAGAAATCTCAAAAAAAAGCCCTCAACCCACAGCCTCATCCAAAATAAAACCCTCAGTCAGCTAAACCATCATCCTGTTCCTTCCCTCATGGCAGCAAACCAGTGCACTGTTCTGGCTGCCTTTGCTATTTTAAATTTGTAGGATATTGTTTAATAATAAATCCGAAACTATCCCATAGGACAGAAAATGAAAGATTCGGTTCCTAAATTGTTCAGCACATGAAAGGAATGTGTCTGTGCCCATGGCACTGGGCCTTTAGGGTCAGGCTGGACATCAGGAGGAATTTTTCTGTGGAAAGGGAGGTCAGGGGTTGGAAGGGCAGTGATGGAGTCTCCATCCCCCCCGGTGTTCCAAAAATGTGTGGGTGTGTCACCTGGAGAGGGGTTTGGTGATGCCCACGGTGGTGTTGCTGTGTGAGGCTCTGAAAGGGCTTTTCCAGCCCCAACCATGCCATGGTTCAAATTCCTGGTTTTTTCACATGTTTTTTTTAGAGAACTGAGTCAGGAGAGAATTTTCTCCTTTTTCAGTCAATGAAAAGCTGTCAGGTCAGTGGTGCTGCAGGAGGTGCAGGCCTGGGGAGAGCACTGCTCAAAGTGCTTTAAAGAGTTCCCTCAAATGAGAGTTCCTGCATTTTGCATTTCCGCTGCCCACCTGCACTCCTGGATGTGAATTTTCCCTGTGGATTCACTTTCCTCACAAGGCTGAGGTGGGAGGGGAGTGCCAGGCTCAGTTTGGCCTTGCAGGTGGCACCAAGTGGAGATTACCTCAGCCCAAGCTGTGGATATATTGGTTTTTTTGGAGAAGTGAGGACCATTTGGGGCAGTCACGAGTCTGGCAGAGCTCCCGGGCTCTGTGTGAGGCAGCTCCACGTGGGCTCGGAGTGTCTTGGGCTGGATTAGGGCAGAGCAGCTGTTGTGTAAGGTCCTTTTTTAGCTGCTGGGTCTGAAATTACAAAATCTGATACTTCCTCCTGCTTCTGTTGTTGTGCTGGGGCTCTGGAGCGTTGTGGGTTTGTTCCCAGGAGTTTCCAAACCAGAGGGAAAGGATTCCACTTCTTTGTGACAGAGAAAAGGCAGAGCTGGCCCTGGTTTTGCTGGGAAATCTGCAGTGGTGTTGATGTGTGAATGTCTGTGGTCCATTGGCACGTGGTAGGCCTTGCCTAAATTCCTGGGGTAATTGAAATTCCTGGAGGAATTCTGCTTGGCTGATAGAATTTGGTTGGGGATTAATTTGGGCGTAATAATTAGCATTTTTCCTGACTGCAAAAATGAGGGGGAAGAAGGAAAATTATAAATTCTTTGGCTAAAAGTGGTTAACCAAGATGAAATCGGATAAGAGCAAAGCAGGGAAGCAATTATCATAATGAGGATTTATTTTTGCCAGCGATTTTGGTCTCTGATGCAAGGACAGAGCTCTTCTTCTTAGTTTTAATTCTTCCCTGTTGTGTTTTTCTGTTTGCTTTTGTGGCTTTGGGGTTTGGTGGGGTTTTTTAACAGCCTTGTCATGAGGAATCCATTTTGGGGCACCTTTTGGCTGCCAGATCAGTTCTGTCATAGATCAGCAATTATAAATAAATAAGCAGGGAGTGTTCAGGAGGGAACGTGCTGGCTACAAATTCAGGAGCTGGATGTGAAAGGCTTTGAAATTGTCAGAAGTCAGCGTTGCTGAAGCAGCCTGGCAGTTGAAATTCACTTTATTCTGTGCAGCACTGACCTGCTGGTGCCCCTTGTTCCTGCAGAGCTCCCTGGCAGAGACCCTGGACAGCAGTGGCAGTTTGGATGCCCAGAGGACTGACATGATTTACACCATTGAAGATGTTCCTCCCTGGTACCTCTGCATCTTTCTGGGCTTGCAGGTACATCCCCAAGCAGAGACAGCTTTTCCTTCTGTACCTTTCAAAGTGTGTTGAGGATTTTCTGTGCACTTCATTGTGTTTGTGTGTGTGAGTTTTATCCTTCTCCACTCTGCCCTGTTTGAGGAAGGTGGTAGGAGGTTTCTTCTGAAGCTGATCACAGATCACTGCTTTGAGAATGATTTTGAAGGAGGTTTTAGGAGGTTTCTTCTGAAGCTGATCACAGATCACTGCTCTGAGAATGATTTGGAGGAAGGTTTTAGGAGGTTTCTTCTGGAGCTGATCACAGATCACTGCTCTGAGGATGATTTGGAGGAAGGTTTTAGGAGGAAGCTGATCACAGATCATTGCTCTGAGAATGATGTCAGTTTTCAGCTCATGCATTTGTGAGTGTCACTCAGATATTCAGAGTTACAAGCTGCTGTTGGTCAGTGAATGAGCAAAGGCTCAGTGGTGGCCTTGACAAGGGACATTGGGCAACTCTGGAGTTAGAGATGGAGAGAGAGAAGGGTTTGGACCTGAAATATGGAATATTCAAGCTGCTCCTGCAGTTATTTCAGTTGTGAGAGCATCAGCCTGTGCCTGGCTTGCCTTTGGAGCACCAGCAGTGCTTCCTGCAGGGAGTGGGGCTGCAGTGGGCAGCAGAGCAGCTCCATTCCTTCTCCTTCCCTTCTCCAGTGGTAGTAACATCTGTCCCACAGGAATGATGAGCATTTGGTCATCTCTGTAAAGGACATTGAGATCTCCAAACAAGCATGTTCCAAAGCATCCTTTTTGTTTCTGCCTTTTCCTCGAGGACAGGCAGTTCCGTACTTGTGTGTGGAGTATGGTGAAAATGTGTTTGTTTCTTTTGCCTTTGGTGTGCTTGGGTTGAGGAAGAGTTAAGGAGCCCTTGGGAGCTGTTTTGTGCGTGAGCCAGTGGGAGTGGAGTTATTTCTGGGCTGGAGGCTGTTCTTAGCACAGTTACCTCCGTGCCTCCTCAGGAGTGTGGCCGGGACATTCTTCTCTCTCTCGTAGAGCAGCACAGAGAAAAGAAAGAGAAAACAATTTCTATTTCTGCTCCTTGTTTTTCCATGTGGAATGAGTTTGGAAAATTGTTTACCTTGGTTGGATTCTGGTGAGGATTGTTTGAGTCTGATGGCCAATCCAATCCACCTGTGGCTGGGCTCTCCAGAGAGGGTTACGAGTTGTGGGTGAGTTAGATATGGTAGTTAGAAAAAGTAGGTTTGTAGTTTTAGTATCTCCTTTAAATGGTATATTAATGTATTATAGTGTAGTTATAATAAAGAAATCATTCAGCCTTCTGAACTGGAGTCAGACATCAGCATTTCTTCCCACTGGGTTCACCTGCATTTACAATAGGAGAGCAGCTGTGGAGCTGCTTCAGGACCCTGTGGATCCCCCAGAAATGACAAAAATCAGAAACCCCCACACAGGATCAGGAGAAAAACGCTGAGGACAAAGCTCAGGGCAGGGGGAGCCAGCTGGGGGTGAGGGGATGGAGGGTGGCTGGCAGCACTAACCCCCCCTGTGCCCCCAGCACTACCTGACGTGTTTCAGCGGGACCATCGCCGTGCCCTTCCTGCTGGCCGATGCCATGTGCGTGGGCTTCGACCAGTGGGCCACCAGCCAGCTCATCGGGACCATCTTCTTCTGCGTGGGCATCACCACCCTGCTGCAGACCACCTTCGGCTGCAGGTGAGCCTGGCCTGGGAGTTTGGGCTGCCCAGCAGCCAGGGCTGGGCGGGATTGGCAGAGGAGAGGCACAGAACTGACAGCAGCAGTTCTGCAAAGATGCTCCCCAAAATTCTCAGGTGGATCTGAAATAACACGAGGCGTCCCAGGGTGAGAAAATACAGCAAGGAGAGGAAACCCAGCAGAACAGAGAAGGCAGAAGTGTTCTTGGGGCAGGAAAATTTATACACCTTGCTAAAGAGGAGCTGCCTGTGGTGCTTTTATTCATTTCTTCAGTGAAATTCTTGGTGATGTTTAGGTGGTTGTGGTCAGTCCTGCAGCAAACTGCATCCTGTGAAGGGCTTGGCAAGTTAAAAAGGCAGGGAAAAACGGTGAGGGAAGCTTGTCACTCTCTGAGGTGAGTGTCTCTTACCTCCCAGTCCATGAAATAATTAGGGTTTATTTGTTGGCTGCTCTGAGTTATGGGCACTGATCATTCCTGGAGCTGGGAACACACACACAAAGGTGTGCAGGGATGCTCTCACCTCTCCTTAGGAGGGTGGGGAAGCCCAGGTGGTAAATCCTTCTGTAAATCTGGTGTTGGCAAGAACAGATAAAGATAAATCTTTCCAAACCCCTGTTCCACTGCACAGCAGTTTAACATGCTGACCTCAACTTTGGCAGTAACTAAAACCTGCAGAGTTATTTCTGCATCTTGAATAAAGCCAAGCCAGAAGAAAAGTGCACGTTGAACCCTCAGGTGGTTGCTGAGGTGATTCTGGACTCACTCTGTTCACTTCCAGAACAATGTGAGCTGAAATCTTGCCTTCCTCTAGAAAATTCCAAACACCCCCCACATTTTAAAGGATTTAGTTGAGAACTGGAATCTTCAGGTGGCAAAGGTGCCTCGGGAGGGCTGGAAGGCAAACCTGTGGTGGATCAGCTTTTTATCTAAAACATTTCCAGCTATTCCAGGTTTTCCAGTGTATCCTTTGGTTGAGTTACCTTTGCTCTTTTTCCCTTGGGGGAAAAAAACCTTCCCTGTATTTATTTGTCTTACTGGACTTAAGAGCTCACCCCTGTGTCTTGAAAAGTCCACTCTGAGTGGAAATGGTTGGAAAAGAAAACTTTCTTTGCCCAATGTATTTTCTGTTAGTAAAGACTCCCCAGAGTCAATAATCTTATTTCCAACCTGGCTGGCTCCTTGTGCTGTAACCATAAATCCTCATGTACCTTGTCTGGAAGTTTGTCATATTTGGGGGTTTTTCCCCCTAACTAATCTTGGCTTTTTATCACTTACTTGAGAGAAATTTGGGGCTCATGCAGAGAGAAGGGACCCAAAATTACAGTGCCATCATTTTGAAATTCTCTGTTCTTTCTGTGTAATCCCACCCCTGCCCTCCACCCTGCTGGGATTTTTCCCTTTTCAGTGGCTCCCACTTGCACTGTACTTAAATTTTTATATCCCTGAAGGCCAAATTGTGTTTGGGTCTTAAAATAACTTGTGTTTAAGGAGGAAATTTCCACGCTGGGATGTTTTATAACTATTTCCCATGTGATGGGGGTTTTATGTAAGGCTGGGAATGGGATACAGCAGCACAGGCCTCTCAATGAGATTTGCAAGTATTCATTGGCAAGTCTGTCAACTGCAAAGTATTTCAGCAAATAAAGGTTTCAAAAGGCCAAATTCCACAGTTTAAGGGTCCTTAAGGATGGATTTAGCTCGATTACAGGTGGAGCTGTGGTCAATTGGGTACCCAGACCAGTTCTAGGAATTCCAGCTATTCACTGGGGTGTGCAGAGCCCCAGCTCTGGCAGGGGTTCATTAGTGGGTAATTAGTGGCACTGAGATGTCACACACAGCTTTAATCCACGCCAGGGTGGCAGCTCTGGTGCTGTGCCCTGCACTGGCTCAGCTTTCTCACATCTGTGGGACGTGGGAACCTAAGGAGACATCTCCAGATGCCTTTGCCTGCAGAAAATCTCCTGTCTTCGCAAGGGCCGTGCCAAAATGGAGCAGCTTGATGATTTAGCTATGAAATTGAAATGATATCCCACTCGTGAGCTTTGGTGCTTGAAGCTTTTTGGTGCTTTAGCTGGCTGGCAATGAGTGGCTGCCTTGAAGTCTGTAAGTCACATTTCAAACTGCAGCTGTCACTTGAGACAGAGACAGATCTCGGTTGACTAATTCTGAGCAATTTGTTTAAAAAAATTTTTAATTAAATTCCTTTTGTTTTACCCCACAATTTTGAACCTTTTGGGAGCTCCCTCAGTTACCTGTGTCACGTAAAAGTGGAGCAGGACCAGGTGCTGAGATGCGATTTGATTTTCCACCCGTGTGCTGGTGTTTAATGGGATCCAGAACAACCCAGGCTGGCAGCAGTGACCTCAGCCCTGGAGAATGTGTTTGCAGTGTGTGTTTACCAAACCTCTGAGGGGGCTGTGTAGGTGTCGTGGAGCAGTAGCAGCTTGTTCCAGGTATTGCAGCCCTGCCATGGGCACCAGCTCTGCTTAGTGAACCTGCCAGGATGGGCTGAATCATTCCCTGAGCCACCAGCCCTGCCTTCCCGCAGGTGGAGCTGGGATTTCGGCACGGAGGAGCTCCCAGTGGGAATTCTGTCCAGTCAGCCATGCTTGGCTGACCCATGGATTTCATGAAGTTTGAGTTTCTAATGCAGTTCTCGACATTTGAAATTTCCCATGGCCCAAACTGCTCCTGTGAACTTCCCAACTCCCATTAATACCAAGCCTCTGGTTTGAGCTTTTCTGTGCTCACTGTGCACCATTTCCCCCCCATGCTTCTCCTCCTGTGAGCATTTTCTGATCTTTACCTGAGCCTGAGCAGTTCTTTTTCCTGCCCTCGATGCCTGAGCAATTCCCCGTGTCACACCTTGGGCTCTCCTGTTAAAGGGGGTCTCATGGCATTGCATTAATGTCAGTATTTGTGGAATAGTTCAGAGTGCATCTGCAGTTAAGTAACGTCAGGATATTTGTTACACAAGGCACAGTGAGGTCAATAGATTCATACTTGGTGCAGGTAGATCCTCTTCAGATCTCTTAAATCTTTTGGAAAGTGTAAACATCAGTGCTAAGAATGTCATCTTGAAATTCCTGTGGTGTTTGTATTTATTAGTGGCAACCCCTTGGAACATCTAATCAGCAGGTATTGACACATGACTCCAGAATGAGTGTGCTGGGAGTCATGCAGAGGGGAGGGATGGAGCCTGCACCTTCAGAGAGCAGTTCCCTGTGCTGGCGTGCTGAAAGCTGAAAGCAGCACCCCCAGCTCAGTGTCCCCTGCGTCCCTGTGCCTGCCACAGTGCCTGGATAACTCCAGTTGGTGCTGTCAGCTCTTTGCCTCCTGAAGTCTTTGTATTTCTCTGGTTAGGTTTGGTTTTTTGGGTTTTTTTTGTGAGAAATCCTCTTATTTCCCACTTCTATAACTCAGTGCAGGGTGGTTTTTGTGCCCACCCACTGCAGTGACCCCACAGAACGTCACCATCTCTCCTCTCCCTTCCCACCAGGTTACCCCTGTTCCAAGCCAGTGCTTTTGCATTCTTAGCACCTGCCAGAGCAATTCTCTCTCTGGAGAAGTGGAAGTGCAATAACACAGGTAATTGTTGTTTATCCTTGTTCAGGTTTAAGTGGCAAATGGCCCAGGTCTCGTGGGGTGCAGCTGTCAGAGCTTCTGATATAAAAACTGGGAGTAAAGGGCAGGGAATATGTAAAGCCTCTCTTCTTACAGTGTTAAAATACTCTGCCACTGAAGATTTCTAAAACTGTCCTGGTGGAGTTCTGTTTCTGGGGATTTTTAAAGTACAAAAACACTGACAAAAGAACTGTAACCATGTCATAAAGTAATTCTTCTGTTCCATTTACATTCTGCAAATGTTCCTTCCCGTAATGTTCCAAATGTTTGGAAATAGTGAGTCCAACTGAACCCTTTGAAGTTGTGAGTGGGAGGGAGTTTGAGCAATGTACAGCATCACCTCCAGACCAGGATTTTCCCTGTTGAAGTCATACCTGACAGGTTTTGACAAGATTTGGATGTTCTTTTTCACTCTTTCTCTGCTGCTGTCGTCATCCTGGAAGGTTTGAACTTCAGAGGGAAGAGATTCTGGTTGGGATGGGGGCATTTGCTTTAGACTGGGCTGGAAGGTGAATGACCCTGGCAGTTTTCTCTTCAGTGGTGGGTGGTTATTCAGTACCAGGGCTGTGGGCAGTGGGAAGCAGCAGCACAGGGAATAATCAGGCTGCTCACTCCTGACTGAAGCTGTTCCAGGGCTCCTCTGGACTCTCTAATAACTGAATTTCTGTTATTTGTGTGTTTATACATCTCTGTTAACTCACATTCAAGATGTGATTAACGCCCAGCTTGTTGAAAGAAACTCTCTGATAACCCTGGGTGGCAAAGCCATTTTCCCCAGGACTCCAGACTGTCAAAAAGAGCTTTGCTGCATCTTCCTCCTGCACCCTTAACCTCCCAGAGCTGCTGGGTGGGGATGTCCCCACGGGTCAGCTCACTCAGAGAGTGACCTCCCCTGGGGAGCAGCGAGCCCTGGAGCTTGTGATTCCTGGGGCAGAACTCCTGACTGACCTTTCATCTGGAAGTCAGGGCATTTTGCTCTTGGAACCCTGGTTGCTGAGGATTTTGGAGCAGAGGGAGAAGTGAGGGGTTGGCTCCTGGGGAAGGCGAGCCTGGTGTCCTTTGGTCTGAGCAGAGCTCGCTGTCTGTGTGAATTGGGGCTGCTTTGTCACAGCGTGAGGAGGGATTTGGTTTGTGTGCAGTGGTGGCAGAGTGGCTGGGCAGTAAAAGAAATCTGTTTTTTCTCCCTTTTGCAAGATCTAACAGTTGCAAACGGAACAGCAGAGCTGCTGCACACGGAGCACATCTGGTACCCCCGGATACGAGAGGTAATGTGGGGCTTGCCTTTTGCTGTCACTCTCTCCAGTTCCAGTTAAGTTCCTCACTCACTCATCTGTGTCTTCTTGTCTTTAAGTTGGTAATTTCTTGTTTCACTGCGATCTCCATTTGAATATATCCCTTTATTCATTTCATGGAAGTCTTCATCTTTTCCACCTGCTCATTGCTGGACAGCAAATACCAGGAGTTAGTTACCACATCCCAAAAGACATGCAGTGAAATGCTCAAGAGAGATGAAAACTCTTCCTGTAACCTTGATTTGTGCTCGCTGGCAGCAGTTCAGCTGCTGCCAGGCCCCTTGCCTGCTGTCCCTGTGCAGTGGGGCTGGCCCTGGAAGGTGAATGTGCAGTTAGGAAATCTGGTTCCCTCCCAAGTGTCTTAAGTTGGAGACTCTTGTGATAAGAGGCCGTTTCTCCCAAAAGACTTGTGAGATCCCTGCAGCTCCTTCTCCACTGCAGTGTGAAATCGTGGTGCCCTGCAGGGCAGGCTGAGGGCTGTGCCACGCCAGGGTGGCAGGTAGAGTAGTCCAAATGAAGGCGTGTGTCATGGAATTGATCTCCCATCCCGTTGCTTTGGGCTGCCAGCTTTTTCTTAATTAAAAACAACCCCTCTCTCTTCCCCATGTTCAAACCATAGCTACATCCTGCCAAGAGCCCTGCAGCCAAGAGGGCTGACAGTCTCCTGAGACCACAACGCTGCTCTAATCCAGCTTCTAAGGAGCACTTGTGACCAATGCAGCACACACTCTGCCCCTAGGAGCTAGGAGCATCACCTCGTGGCGCACCAACCCTTGCCGTTCGATCTGAGAGCTTAAAGGTTAGCCTGGACCCCAGGTCTCCTGTCTGACAGTGTGATGTGCTTTCCACACAGCTTCCAGACTGGCCCACTGGTCTGTTGTGTAATAGTTTTGTGGAGAAAACCATAAGTGTTATGCTTAAAGCAATAAGTCACTTAAACATAATGAGCTATTTTATGATGAAAAAAAACAAAAAAAAAAAATTGCTGAGTTCTTCTGTGTCACTGAATTCTTTTAACTGCAGTTTGTAATCCAGAGCAGAAAAACAAATGGTTTGCCTGTCAGATGGCACTGAGCTGCCTCTCTGCCCTGTTGTGTGTTCAGATCCAAGGTGCCATCATCATGTCCTCGCTGATCGAGGTGGTGATCGGGCTGCTGGGGCTGCCCGGGGCCCTGCTGCGCTACATCGGCCCGCTGACCATCACCCCCACCGTGGCCCTCATCGGCCTCTCGGGCTTCCAGGCTGCAGGGGAGAGAGCTGGCAAGCACTGGGGCATCGCCATGCTGTGAGTACCCCGCCTTTCCTCTGGGCAGGCAGAGTTTTGGGGTGCCAGGCAGGAGGCAGCTCGGCTGGGTCCGTGCCACCGGTGTGGAGAAGCACCAGAGAAACCCCCCACAAGAAACACACACACCACGAGAAACACACCACGAGAAACACACCACAAGAAACACCCACCCCATGAGAAACACACACACCACGGGAAACCCCCCAAGAGAAACCCCCCATGAGAAACCCACCACGAGAAACCCCCCATGAAAAACACACACACCACGAGAAACACCAACTGTCTGGATGAGGTCAGCTGGAAATGTGGGAATAAGGACAAGAGTTGCCTGAAGCTTTTCTCTGTGAAGAAATCCTCCCCTGGGAGGGTGGGGAGACCCCAGAGCAGCTGTGGCTGCCCCTGGATCCCTGGAAATGCCCAAGGGAGGTTGGACAGGGCTTGGAGCACCCTGGGATACTGAAAGGTGACCCTGCCTATGCCTCCTTCATGGACCTGGATGGGCTTTAAGGCTCCTTCCAATCTAAACCGTTCCATGATAATGTGAACTCGAGGAGAGGAGAGGACAGTGGCCAAAAATAAGGTGTGGAGAGCAGAATTGTATAAAGCAGGAGTTGTTCTGGGAGCCATTGGCTGCCTGGAGTTCAGTGCTGTAGAAAAGATGATTTAACAGAGCAGCAGAGAGATGAAATGCAGGGAACAATTTGTATTTCTGGGCTGGCAGTGCCCGTTTCCTCCCCTGCAGCAGCAGCCTCTGCCATTGGCACTGGTTTGCTTACCTGTGCCCAGGAGAAACTCATTTGTGTGATGGCAGAGGGCACAAGCATTCCATAACCACCCCAGAGGCTGAGCCATCAGCAGAGAGGTGCCTGCCCCGGGACAAAAAGGCTTTTAGAGGGAATTTCAGGGCCTGGGGCCAGTGTGCCATCAGCTGTAGGGACCAGGGACATGTGGAAGAATGCAAAGGAGTGAGAGAGGGAAATGAAGAGAAGACAAAAGCTCCCCGTGTGGGTAAGCAGCCAAATTTAGAGGCTGGGAACCCCATTTTAGGGAGAAATGAGGCTGAACAGTTCCATGTGCAGCACCCACTGTGCTGGCTCTGGGAGCAGGAGGAATGCCTTGATGAGATCAGACTGTGATCTCACTAATCTGTTTGCACAGTGCTTTGAACATGTAAAGTATTCTGTAAGTGCAGCTTATGATTAAAAGGGCTCTTTAATTCTCTTTTATCTTCCATGTTGGCATCGTGAGTATTTCTGTGGTTCTGTTGTATTAAGCAGCTGATCCAAAGGAACGTTTTATTTGTCTGTAAAACAAATTCTGTGCAAGCTGGGGCTAACGTTAAATGAATCAAGCAGATCTTTGAATTGGACGTGGAAACGTGTAATTAAAGTTGACATTTTTGCAGATGGAAAGAAAAATAAATCAATTCAGGAGCGAGATTTAAATGGTACCCAGTCAATAAAGTATTTCTGGCTTCTGCCACGCAAAAATGTGCACTGGATTGTTGAGAACAGCCCCAGAGCTCTGGGGAGCCGCTCAGAAGTGACTGCAGCTCTGTGAGGTGTGGCTCCTGGAATTGTCTGGATTTCTCCCTGGCCCTGCACAATCAGCTGGGGGCTCTGGGAGCTGCAGGTGCTTGTCCATGTCGGACAGGATTCCCAATTTCCCAATTTCCTGGCTTGTTCCATGGGTGCTTCATTCCATCAGACATTTGCATTGATATTTGTGAGAAGGGGAATTACTCCTGAGTTGGGCTTTGCCTGTTTATCCAGATTTTCCTGGGGCAGTCAAGGGTTTGGGGCTGTTTCACAGCCAATAGAAAATTCATTGCAATAATTAATTATTGTATTTTTTTACAGCTCTGTACTGAATCAGATCCAAAGTCCTCAGGGCTGGTGTGTGAGGGAGGGGAGCCCGGGGTGGATTTTGGGGCAGATTTGGGGGTTTCATGGAAAAGGTGTGCCTTTTGCTTTTCTCCTGGACTGCTGAGGGCTGTAAATGCCCCTCCTTCTGGAGACTGGGGGAAAGAAAAACCAGTTTGTGTCTGATCCGGGGCAGGAGAGAGGCTGAAAATCCTCTTTTTATTTTTCAAGTCAGCTGATAAAAACATCATCTCAGATTTCAGCAGGGCTTTGCTTCTTGAGGCAGCTCCAGTCTTCAGGAGGCCCTTTCAGAGCAGAGCTGGGTTGAGAATTGAGAATTTCTCGTTCAGATTGAGCAGCGTGCCCTGGCTTCTGATTTTTCAGGGCAGTGGGGGCTTACTTTAGTTGTAAAAGTAATTTTTAATGTCTAGAGGAGCTTAGCAGTTTCACTGGGAGGAAATGCATAATAATTGAGACATCTAATACTGGTGAGCTGCACTTGCAGCAAATCTTGGGGCTTGGGCTCCATTCTGCTTCATTTGCAGCTAAATAATGAAAGATTCGTATTTTAAAAAAATGGGTTCTGAAGAACAGGAATATTTCCCTGACAGAAGTTTCCTCAAGTGCTTTGGAGTTTCATGCAAATTTTGAAATGTAAAAATTCCTGTACACAGCCCTCCAGTTTTCCTGTTTCTTGCCAGGTGCTGGCATTGTGCTTTACAGAGCAGCCCTGGGCCACAGGTGGGGTTTGGGAGGAAAAAGGGGCAGCAGAGGAATTTAAACTGAAAATATCCCTTCAGTCTGCCCCTGATTCATTTTATCTGCTTGCAGCTGCTGAGTTTTGCAGCACTTCGGAATTCAAAATCTGTTTGGGCATTTGAGGAATAATAATTTTAATCATTTTGCTGCCTTGTCTTCTGCTTCAATTGCAAATCGGCATTTATGGTCCAAAGGGTCAGAAGGGGTTTGTGCTAAAAAGAATTTATCATATATTGGTGCTAATGACGTTTCTCTCTTGTCCCACCCTCCTCCTTTTTTCCTCAGGACTATTTTCCTAGTGTTGTTGTTTTCCCAGTATGCCAGAAATGTCAAATTTCCCTTGCCCATTTATAAATCCAAGAAAGGATGGACAGCATACAGGCTGCAGCTTTTCAAGATGTTCCCTGTAAGTCATTGAACTTGTTCTTCCTTAGACAAAAAAATACCATTTCTGGTTTTTGCGGGGGCTGATAATTCTTGGTTTTGATTTTTCTTCACAATAGAATACTCACAAAGGTGAGAAAAAGCTCAGATGGATTTATTGGAAATGCAGTGGGTTATTGGCCAAAGGAAATACTCAGATTTTGTGATGATTGGTTTTAAGGTGTTTATAGTTTAGCGTGGTAAAAAGTTGATAAGTTAAGAAATGTTTATAGCGTTTTGTAACTAAGAAATAATTTTTGGGTTTTGATTGTGATGTCTTGAATTATAATATTTGGGGTTTTTTTTTTTAATGAGATTGAAAATGGAATGAAAGTTTTTAGATTTTTTTTAGTTATTTTTTAGTTATTTTATTTTTGGGTTTGTCCAACAAATTAAACAAAAAACTATAAACATTATATAGCTATATAATATTAAAACACTATATTATAAATACCTTAAAACAAATAACCTAAAACTACCCCTCATAAATCCAACTACATCTTCCATAGTTCTATTTCTCCAAAATATCTAATCTTACTTACAAAACCATCCTTGAAAACTTTTTCCAACTCCATTTCTCTCTCAACATCTATCCTCTCCCATAACATTTCTAAATCAATATTTATCTCAAAGTAAATACAGTATGTAGAGTATACAGTATGTGTTTTACATACTATTTGCATACTATATACATACAGTATATATGTATTTTACATACTATATACATACAGTATCTATATATAATAGTACTTTACATACTATTTATATACAATATCTGTATATAGTATATATTTTACATACTATTTGCATACAGTATCTATTATATATTTTACATACAATATACATACAGTATACATATGTTTTTTTACATACATTTTACATACAAATGCATACAATATGTACATATAGTATTTTACATATTTTATACATACAGTATGTGTTTTACATACTATTTACATACAGTATATATGTATTTTACATACTATATTAAAAACAGTATGTATATATATGTATTTTACATGTTATTTACACACAGTATCTATATATGGTATGTATTTACATACCAATCCATACCATATAAACCTCCTATCAAACACTAAAAGCTCTCCACCAGTCTGGTTCCCCCAGACCATCCTGATTTATTTACCTGCTCATGTCCCCCAGATCATCCTGATTTATTTATCTGTTCACATCCCTCAAATTCATCCTGATTTATTTATCTGTTCACCTTTCCCAAATTCATCCTGATTTATTTACCTGCTCATGTCCCCCAGATCATCCTGATTTATTTATCTGTTCATGTCCCCCACATCATCCTGATTTACCTGCTGTGCCCCCCAGACCCTCCTGATTGATTTCTCTGCTCGTGTCCCCCAGATCATCCTGGCCATCCTGGTGTCCTGGCTGCTGTGCTTCATCTTCACGGTGACGGACGTGTTCCCCCCGGACAGCTCCAAGTACGGCTTCTACGCGCGCACGGACGCGCGCCGCGGCGTGCTGCTGGTGGCCCCCTGGTTCAAGGTGCCCTACCCCTGTAAGTGTGTGCTCCCAGAGCCCAGCAGGGTCATTGCTCGGCTTCCAGGGCTCTGCTGGCCCTGTCTTAGTGATTTATTCCATTGCCCTGGTTCCCCAGAGCCCAGCAGGGTCATTGCTCTGGTTCCCCAGGAGCCCAACAAGGTCATTGCTCTGGTTCCAGAGCTCTCCTGGCTCTGTCTCAGTGATTTATTCCATAGCCTTGGTTCCCCAGAGCCCAGCAGGGTCATTGCTCTGGTTCCCCAGGAGCCCAGCAGGGTCATTGCTCTGGTTCCAGAACTCTCCTGGCTCTGTCTCAGGGATTTATTCCATAGCCTTGGTTCCCCAGAGCCCAGCAGGGTCATTGCTCTGGTTCCCCAGAACCCAGCAGGGTCATTGCTCTGGTTCCAGAGCTCTCCTGGCTCTGTCTCAGTGATTTATTCCATAGCCCTGGTTCCCCAGAGCCCAGCAGTGCCATCCCCCTGGTCCAGAGCTCTGCTGGCTCTCTCTCAGTGCTCTATTCCATAACTTTTGGGTGGTGGATGGTCCATCCCTGGCAGTGTCCCATGCTGGGCAGGGCTTGGAGCAGCCTGGGACAGTGGGAGGGGTCCCTGCTGATGGCTCTGGAGGGTCCCTCCCAATCCCAACCATTCCACAGTTCAGCACACACCACTCTCACTACCTGCTGGTGGTTTTTCCTTGTTTTCCTTCTCAGCTGGTGCCTTAAGGTCTCACCCAAGGAAGGCTGAGGTTCTGAGGCTGCAGGTTGCAGGATTGATCTGGGTGGCTCTCCTGATAACAAGTGACTGCACCTATAAGGTGGAATCCAAGGGCTGGCTGATTTATCAGCCCTTGGCAGTGCTGTTGATGTTACACAGTGCCAGGGACAGGTTTTTACAGCTCTGCTGAAGTCACTGGCTCTCATTTTCTGAAGAAACTCTTCTGTGGGGAGTTTCTCCCAGCCTGCTGCACTCCCTGACCCAAACACACCCATTCCTGGACGAGCACAAGTGTTCATGGCAGAAAAATGCCCTGACTTGCCAAGGCAGTGCTGCGACGGGCAAGTCAGAGAATGCCAGGCCCTGCTTGTCACAGGGAAGTGAAATTATTTACAGGAGAGCACCAGACATTTCACACAATGTTTTGGATGTGGTTTTATGTTGGCCACCTCTAAGTTTAAAGCTGTTAAAGGCTGGGTTTGTGGCGTGAGATGGCACAGCTGGTTCACCCTTCAGAAGTGAACAGGGTAATTAGGGAATATCATTTAGAATAGAAATACAGGAATTATTAGCTATGCCACCACGTTGTGATGAGGCAGCTTCGTTGTGGTTTTCCTCATGCTTTGGTTCTTAAAAGAAACCACTTCTAAAGCAGCAAGCAGATGAAGAGCAGAAGCTTTTGGGAAGGAAAAGGAGGAAAACTTCTCCACCCTGATCAGCCCATTTGTATTTGTAAGGTTCATTCACTCTTGTGTGACTGAAGATCCCTTTGTTGCTGGAGGCTCATCTATTTCAAAGAGATAAAAGCATCAAGGCAATTGCTGTGGAAAACCTGCCAGGCTTTTCTGCAGGCTTAAATTAATCTTGTTTTCTCTGCTACAAAAATTTGGAGCTGGGAGGTGTTTGTGCAGTGATCAGAGCTGGTGCCATCCTCTTTGGTCCACTAAACTTGTGACCAAAGTGAGCTTTTGGAGCAATGAGAATACAGTGGCATTTGCCTCACTGGCCAGGATTGTTTTCTCACAAGCTGTAGCTCAAATTCCTGATTCCTGAACAGGAGGAATTTTTTTTTTTTTTGGTGGGGTTTTATAGTTCTCTGGGATTTTTCCAAGTGTGATCAAAGCAGTTGGTTTGGCGGTTTTTCCTTTGCTCCTTTCATCTCCTTGAACTTGCCAGACTGCGTTAGAGTGAAGGGAGTTTGTTGTTCCCGTCAAAGATAAATAAACAGTGCCTGGGGCAGAGCTGGGCATGGGGAGGCCCCCCTCAACCCCAGGGTCACTTGTGGCCCCTCAGGACAAGGACACGGAGGGGCTGAGGGAGCTGGGAAGGGGCTCAGAGGGAGAAAAGGGGATCAGGGAACTTCTGGCTCTGCACAGCTGCTGACAGGAGGGGCCAGCCGGGGTGGATTTGGGATCTCACCCCAATGGGAATAAGGGTCCAGGAGGAGAGAGAACGGCCCCAGGCCGTGCCAGGGGAGGGGCAGGTTGGATATTGGGGAATGTTCCTTGCCCAGAAGGGCTGCCCAGCCCTGGGGCAGTGCTGGGGTCCCCGTGCCCAGGGGGCTGGGCAGCGCTGTGGATGTGGCACTTGGGGACGCGGTCAGCGCGGTCAGGGATCCTAAAAGCCCTTCCCAACCCAAACCATTCCCCAGTCCCAGCAGTTTCTGTTTGTTTGGGCTGCCAGCCTGTGTGCTGGGGCAGCAGAGGTTTCAGTTCTGCTCTCTCCACAGTCCAGTGGGGCCTGCCCACCATCTCGGCGGCGGGCGTGATCGGCATGCTGAGCGCCGTGGTGGCCAGCATCATCGAGTCCATCGGCGACTACTACGCCTGTGCCCGGCTCTCCTGTGCTCCTCCTCCTCCCATCCATGCCATCAACAGGTCTGTCCCCACAGAAACACCTCCAGTGCCTGGGCCTCTTCGGGTTTTTGCTTTTCCCCCACTTTGGGTAAGCAGGAATGTGCTCCGAGGTGAAATGTTGCAGTTTGGTCAAAGTGCAGGGCCAAGGATCTGAAATGCAGGGTGGAACTGGCACCTTGCGTTGTTTAGTTACATTTGAATCCCAGTCCTGTTCCTGCTGGAGTCTGTGGAAGTTACCAGCACGATTTCCATGAGGATAGAGCTCTAAACTGGTTCTGGAATTGGGGCTGTCAAAATCACCTGGAATGCAGTTTAGAAACAAAGAGCAGCTCTGAAGTTTCGCTTGAATTTTTAATAGAATTTCCTCAGTTTAAGAATGTGGGGGTCTAAGACTCAGGAAACAGAACCCCAGTGTGTTTTCCAGGTTGTGTTGCAGCTTGAAACGTGAATTGCAATGATTCCACGGTGGAGCAGATGCCCCTGTGGCAGGCAGGCGTGGAGCCCCCTCCCAGTGAATGTGTGCCTGTACCAAGGTGACTCCTGTGTCCTCTTTGGCATTTGCAGGGGGATTTTCATCGAGGGTCTCTCCTGTGTTCTGGACGGAGTGTTTGGGACGGGGAATGGATCCACCTCCTCCAGCCCCAACATTGGGGTCCTGGGCATCACAAAGGTGAAGTGCTTTGCTGTGAGCCCTCAGGGGCTTGAGTGTTCCTTGTGTTCACAGTCCTCTTCCAGCAGACCATTCTGCTCCATTCCTGTGCACACAAACTTCCCAGGTCATTCTGAGTGTCCCTGACTGCCTGTACCAGCTCTTGTCTGAGGGAAATGCATTATTGTGCATCAGGACCTCAGAAATTCTTTTATTCCGAGTAAAAGGCAGTTAGAATCCCCATAAAGCAGATGCTGCTGCACAAACTGTCTCTTGGAAAAGCCAGGCAGCATTCCAGGCCTCTGGGGTGGTTTGAGTTGAGGCATAAACTCTGTAAACTGTGTAGAAATTGCTGCTTTTTGGATATCTTGGCTCTGAAAGCGTCAGTAGGAAGTGACATTTTAATGCCTCACACACAGTGAAATGCAACATGAGGTGCTTGGGCTTTATCTATGTCTGTGCTGGGACATGGCACTGGCACAGGGGCTGCAGCCAAGCTCATTTCAGAGTTAAATGTACCCTAAATGTTTGGGTTTAAGGCTCAGGGGTTTACGTAATTCTGGTGATGTTGCTCAACAAAATGTGTGAGTCCTCGAGGAGCTCCTTTGCTCACGTGTGGGGCTGGATCTGTGCCTGGATGAGCTGGGAGGCCTTGGCTGCAGAGAGATCTGCCTGGTACTGTTAATTTAGCCTTGGTAAGAGACAGCAGCAGCGTTGCTGAGGGTGGTTTGTGTTGTAAATGGGTCCAGCTTGTTGGGTGTTAGTTGTGGGAAGCATAAACCCTTCGTGCAAGGGTAGGAGATGTAGTAACTCATCCCCCTGGCCTGATCACGTATAAATGATGTATTTGTCCTCAGCCCTCCCTTGTGCTGCACAAAGGGAGATTCTGCCGGGTTTGGGGTGCAATTCTACACTAACAGCACCATCTGCTGTCTGTGCCAGTCGCCATCCAGCTGCCCGTGGAAATCTCCTAGGAGAAAAAAAAAAACCCTAAAGAAAGGTTTCTTCTGTGCTGCTCCCTTCCCATTGTTCCTTCGTGGGGGTTGAGATGAATTAACAGCACTTTTTATGAGCAGCCCACAGAAATGAGTGTGCATTTTGTGCTGGGGCAGTGGAAAGTTGGAGTGGCAGCTGTGGCAGGGAGTGGAGCTGCCTGCCCAGAGTGGCACAGCTGCAACAGGCTGTGCTCTTGTTCCCCATTCCCCAAAACCCAGCAGTCTGCTGCTTCAGATAGAATTTTGGCTCAGAGATGCTCTGCTGTTGATTTGGGAGAGGAGATCTTCAGTGCTGCATCACCAGGGCACTTCCCTCCCTGGAAATCGGTGTATAATTAGACTTAGAATTTAAATTCTGCTGGATGGAGGTGCTGCAAAGCCTTTGAGCCTGTGTGTGTTTTACTTGATGAGAGCAAGATCAATTAACTCTGATTAGCTGGGGCTAAAGCAGCTCTTGCCATAGTGGTGATGCTGAAATGGAGGCTCCAGGTACCATTTGATGCACTCCAAAATAATCACTGTGTGTGTTTGTGTGCTGGGAATAAATACAGAGCCCGAGCTAAATGCTGCCTGGGATGTTTTCAGTGGTTTTCCAGAGGAGCTTAATTTGTTTGCATAAATAAATGTCACTGTCATGCGGGTGTTCAAAGGATTTGCCTGTTCCTGGCAGGAAGAGAATTGTAGGGCAGGATCTCAGTGGCCCTGCAGAAATGAATATTTCTATAAAGAGCACAGAAAGGGGCCAGCTAAATTCTGTTGTAATTCCCGTTGATGGTGTAGCAGAACTCTGTTTGCAGGGGAAGAAGCTCACCTGGAGCTCAGCAGTGAGGAATGTGGGGCAAGGAAGGATTTCTCCCTCCTCAGGCCTGTTGGATCTGTAGTTTCTCATTTCTCTCATTTAGCTCAGTCACACATGATGAACAAATGAATATTTCCTCTTTGAACCCTGGGGGCAAAGGGTTTTTCTAGAACCCATCTTAATGTAAAGGAGTTTTTGTTGTCCCTGGGGCGCCTTTTGTGGCAGTAGAAGATGTTAAAATACCAACTTCAGGTTTAGCCGCTACCCTTGCAGCACAGAGAGCCACTGGCTGCTTGAATCTTGAATTCTTAAAATAAAACTGGGAAGGAAGTGCAGGCCCTTGGTTTCAGTGCCAGCAGAGCCCTGATTTGCATTCAGCCCTGCCCTCTGAGGGTGTCACAAAACCAGCTGCTAATCTAAGCTAAAATTGCTGCCCCTCCTTCCCACCGCCCGGGAGCTGTTTCATCGGTTCCCCGGGCAGCAGCACGGGGAATTGATTTGATATTTTCCATTTGCCACCTCTGCTTTGCACCATGTTTCCTGCTGGCTGTGGCAGCTCCAGATGGTTTTTGGGCTGGCCTGGGCAGGCTGAGCTGGGCTGCAGAGCAGCTGTGGCTCAGCCCAAAGGAAACGCGTGTGGGAGCTGGAAGGAGCCGAAACAAAACCCGACCTACCAAACCCAGCCCAGGTGTGGGGCTGGGCTGGGTGCAGAGCTCACCCTGTGTCCTGTCCATCTCCTGCAGGTTGGGAGCCGCAGGGTGATCCAGTACGGAGCAGCTTTCATGCTGCTGCTGGGCATGGTGGGCAAGTTCAGCGCGCTCTTCGCATCGCTGCCCGACCCCGTGCTGGGGGCTCTCTTCTGCACCCTCTTTGGTAAGGCTTTGCTGTTTGCTCTTCTGAGAAATGTTTGCTCATAGGAACTGCAGTGCTCCTCCAGGCACGCTTTGGGTAGTGAAAAAGATTTTTTTGTGCAAAAGAATATCCAAATACAAAGCAAATGTTACCGGCTTGCTTTACGTTTAGCCTAACAGAAGGAAATCTCCAGAGAAAGGAGTAACATTTTCCTAGCAATGTACCAAAATCTTCTCTTTCTGGTTGCAATGGTCCCTGCTTTCATGGTGCACTGATTCTCAGGTTTGCTAATTTCTAAAAACAGACTAAAAATTAGAGGAAGAAGAAGAAAAAGCAGTTGCTGTGCTATTAAAACTCCTGTTTTGTGCTATTAACTTAAACTGTGCTATTAACATGCACTTTTCTGATCATCCATTCCAAATGTACTGGGAGGTATCCTTCAGGAATATTTTGCTGGGTTTTTTTTAAGAAAAAGACTCACCTAAAAGCTGTTCTTGGGGTGTTTTGTGTTCAGGGATGATCACGGCCGTGGGTCTGTCCAACCTGCAGTTCATCGATCTCAATTCTTCTCGGAATCTCTTCGTGCTGGGATTTTCCATCTTCTTTGGGCTCGTCCTCCCCAGCTATCTCAAACAGAACCCCCTGGTCACAGGTATGTGCTGCTGCTCCTCCACATCAGCACTTCTGCCTCGTGCTCACGTGGAAAATCCATCAGGTACAGAGGGTCAGGAAGAGGAAAAACCCAAATTGTGGAGGAAAAACCCAAATTGTGGAGGAAAAACACAAATGACACAGACAGGAAAGGCTGTAGGTCCAGACAAGCTCTGTGTGTGTTCAGAGAATTCTCTGGGAGGCTGAGACCTGCAGGGAGTGTTCAGTGGGGCACAGCTGAAGCTTTCCTGCTTCCTCTGGGTGCATTTCAGCAATGGAAGGGGGCAGTGAGCAACTGGGCTGAAGGAAGGACTGAAAGGGTCTGGTGAGCTGTAAATGATGTTAAAAGATTAAGGGGAAACACCAAGGCAGAGTTTGGAAGGTGGGGAATTGTTTGGGGGCTGAAAGTTTCTGTCACTCAGACGTGTTCTGGGTGTTAATTTTAATTCTAATGAATTCCTTTGCAGACTGTTAATGGAATTGTAGCTTTGAGGAGTTCTCTGGGAAGGTTTTATCTTTTCATGTGACCCTCAGCAGTGCTCATGCCAGTGTGTGTCAGCAGGGATGGACTCAAAGGAAATATTTCACTGCTTTGAGTTTGTTTGGGGGTTTTTAAACAAAGTATTAACTGACTTTTCTTTCCACTATGCCTTCAGACCAGGATTTAAGGGCATATCTGTCCTGCAGTAAGTGGTTAGAAAAGCAGATCCCTCAACCTTTATGTGGTTAATGCAGTGTTCTTCCATAACTGGGGCTGGCAATCTTTGCTCCTTTGATAAAGATTTATAAAAAGAATTATTTACAAAAATAATTTTATTTACTTATAAACAAATTCTATAATAATTATTATTTTAAAAGCTACGAATTTGCAACCTGAACGTTTCTCTTTTGCACCCCACTGAGGTTTCCTGCTTAGCTCAGATGAGTGGTGTCTGCAGCAGGAGCTGCAGTGGTGCTGTGGGACATTCCTGGCAGTTCTGAAGTTGCATTTTGGGGAGCAATGTCCCGGGTGGAGCCCTGGGGAGGGTTCTGTGTCAGCCCCCAGAGCCCTCTGGGGTGGGAGCAGGAGGAGGAGGGCGCTGGCAAAGCCCAGCGGGTTTGGTTTGGTGTCCCTGTGCCGCAGGAATCGCGGGCATCGACCAGGTGCTGAACGTGCTGCTCACCACGGCCATGTTCGTCGGGGGCTGCGTCGCCTTCGTGCTGGACAACACCATCCCAGGTGAGCCCTGACCGGGCTGGGGAGGCAGCATTCCCTGGGGAGAGGCAGAATTCCCTGGGGAGAGGCAGAATTCCATGGGGAGAGGCAGCATTCCCTGGGGGGAGGCAGCATTCCCTGGGGAGAGGCAGCATTCCATGGGGAGAGGCAGCATTCCATGGGGAGAGGCAGCATTCCCTGGGGAGAGGCAGAATTCCCTGGGGAGAGGCAGAATTCTCTGGGGAGAGGCAGAATTCCCTGGGAGGGGGGGGCAGAATTCATGGAGAGAGGCAGAATTCCCTGGGGAGTGGCAGAATTCCATGGGGAGAGGTAGAATTCCCTGGGGGGAGGCAGAATTCCATGGAGAGAGGTAGAATTCCCTGGGGGGAGGCAGAATTCCATGGAGAGAGGTAGAATTCCATGGAGAGAGGCAGCATTCCATGGGGAGAGGCAGAATTCCCTGGGGAGAGGCAGAATTCCATGGGGGAGACAGCATTCCCTGGAGAAAAAGCAGCATTCTCTGGAGAAAGGCAGCATTCCCTGGAGAAAAGGCAGAATTCCCTAGAGAAAAGCAGCATTCCCTAGAGAAAGGCAGAATTCCTTGGGGAAAGGCAGAATTCCCTGGCTAACAGCAGCATTCCCTGTCTAAAAGCAGCATCCCCCGGGGCAGAACAGCAGCAGGAGATCGCTGCTTTTGGGGCTGGCTGTCCTCCCTTCCCCTGAGAACACCTGGAATCCTTCCCAGCCTAAAATCCCATTAAAGTCCCTCTGAAACACCTAAAAGAGCTGATAAAAACCAAACCAATCTCCAGTAAAACCGTGTTTGAGATCCAAACCTGCTTCCAGCCAAGAGGAAAAGTTTTGCCTTGTAAATTTGCTTTTGTGACTGGAAAAACTCCCAGTTACAAAATAAAGCAGCTGATGTGGTTTTCCCTTTTTGAGGAGCCTGGAAGATCTTCCCAGGGCTTTGCTGAGCCTTGGTGATTTCTTCCTTCTTCCAGGCTCTGCTTTGGGCCTGCGTGTCCATACAAAAATATCCATGAATATTCTTTATTTTGCTTCCTAGGAAGCCCTGAAGAAAGGGGAATTCGGAAATGGAAGAAAGGGGTCGGTAAGGGAAGCAAATCCCTGGAAGGCATGGAGACGTATGATCTGCCTTTTGGCATGAACTTCATTAAAAAATACAGGTGTTTCAGCTTCCTGCCCATCAGCCCCACCTTCCTGGGGTACACGTGGAAAGGCTTCAGGAAAAGCAGCAACTGCAGGAGTTCAGACGAAGACTCGGAAGCTACAGTATAGCCTTAGCTGAAATTATATTATCTAGTTGTAGTCAAAGATGTATTTGCAGTTTCTTGCTGATTAAGAAGCATTAAAATATATGTTTTGTATATCTGCATTTAAATTCTGGAACCAGAGCTGAGACGGATCTTAAAAAAAAAAAAAAAAAAAAAGAAGAAAAGAAAAAAAAAAAAAGCTTTTCCTGCTGTGGGTGGTGGGAGCCAGGTCTAGTGTCTCTGGGGCAAATCCTGCTGATTTTGGGAAGTTGGAGAGAGCTGTGCACCTAATTCTGCTGGTTTTAAATGGTTTCAGGCGGAGGTGTGGAGGTGCTGCTGCACATTTTTTGGTTTTATGGTGGTTTTATTGAAGCCCTCAGCGTTGGTTACGCCAGGAAAGCTGAACCTTGGAGAAGGAGAGGGGGGTAAAAAAAGAGAGAAAAGGAAAAATCTTTCTTGTGCTGATGTCAGACCCCACGGATGCTGTTCTGCTGCTCAGTGATTTGCACATTCCGTGTTCCCAGTGCCTGGAAACGGGGCTCAGCTGATGCTGGCAGTGCTGAGAGTTTCCTCCTGGGTGATCTGTGGTTCCAGGGACACGTCCAGCATTCAGACAGGAAGTTTCTGGAGTAACTTTGCCTTTGAAAGCCAAGGCTGGCTGGGCTGGCTCGCTTTTCCTGACAGCATTTCTCGTTTTTGAGGTTTGCTTTCCCCACCAGGGTTTCCTTACGGGGACACCCGAGCCCGGGGAGTTCCAGGGATGGGAAACCTGAACTCACACAGACCTGGGGGCAGCGTTTCGGTTCAGTGCCTGTGTCCAGCAGGATTTTCCTGGCCAGAAATGCTAATTAGCTGAGCAGCTCCAAGCAATTAGCAGTTGTTCCCTGTGGGGAAAGCCACGTGCTTGGGTCTGAGCAGGGTTTTTGTATTTTATTTTTTTGCTGATGGCTCTTTCTCCTCTTGTGGGGCTTCTCCAGAGGCTGATTCCTGCTGGGAAGGGGTTTGGGAGAGCAGAGACACTGCACCTGCAGCCTCACCCGGCGGATGGGTTCACGGGTATCGGGTCCAATCAGGGCACCACTCAGATTCTCTTTTTGTTTTTCCTGAAATAGTCTCAGCTCTGCTGTTATGTGGGTGTTCACGCTCATCATGCATTCATGATTAACAGTTTTATTCCTGTTTAATGTTCTTACTATTGCAAGTTAGTTTTAGACTTCCGTGTGGCCCCAAAAGCATTTTCAGCTGTGGAGATCATCAGGGAAATGTTGTGTAATGTAATTTCAAGGCCAGTAATGCTCTACGGTGCTTGCGTTTTGTATTCCTGGAAAACCATACCAGTAGATCCTGTACCCCCCTGATCTGTTTATCCAAGTTTGACCGCTGGACAGGAGCACAGGAACTCTGTTTTCTCCCAGTCTGCTCCCAGGGGAATTTGTTCTGGGGTGTTGAAGCATGGACGGGTTGGGGTGGTGGGGAGGGCGAGGACGGAGCTTGAGGGATCAGTGCCGAGTAGTGTAGAGTGGGAATGAATCCGTGGATTTCGTTCTCAGCATGCCATGGCTGTTTCCAAAACTGTTTATCCCGCTTTTCCCCTGCCCAAGCATGCCTTTGTTCCTGCTTCCTTCGGGGAACTTTCAGTAGTTTGCACTCTTGGTGTCGGTCCGACTCGAGAGCTGCTCGGAAGAGTCGTCGTGTGGTAGACGAGGTTGGTTTGCCTGTGAAACAAAAAGTCATTTTTGCTCATTTTTCAGTGTTTCCTCTCCAGGTAGCGAGGTGTTGGATTCCCACACCCCCCTGCACACGCTTTTGGTGTGGGGACCTCTGGGCAGTGGCACGGAGCTCCCAAATTCCGGCTCCCTGTGCAACCAAAGATGTCTGGCAGACGTGGAGGGGTTGAAAATCCCCATCCGAAAGGAAAACCAAGCCAGGTCTGGTGGCTGTGCAGCCCCAGGGGTTGTGGAGATGTCAGATGCCAAATTGGTTATCCTGTAAAAGTGGAGAAAAGGAGGAAAAGTTTCATTTCCAGAGCGAGGAGGGGATGGGAGCAGAGTTTGTCTCTCACCCCGCTGAGGGAAACCCCAGTGAGTTCCCAGTGGATGTTCCCAAGACAATCCAAGTCCCAGGGCAGCAAATCCTGGATAAATTCCCTCTCCTCCCTGGAGCAGAGCTCCCCTCCTTCCCCACAGCTCTCTCCAGGCAGGTGCAGTCCAGTTTTCTGTTGGATTTAATTCTTTCTGTGCTTGGTGCCCACTCCCCCGGCCCCTGGGAGCAGCTGGAGTTGGGTCCGTTTGGATCCCAGCTGGGCAGGGGGACCATCCCCACCTCCTCCGGGGTGGGAAGGGTTAAAGGACCCCTGGGTGTGCAGGAGGGGCTGGGCTGAGGTCGGGGTGGGACGTTTGAGGTGAGTTTTGGGGAGAGGAGCTGCCCTGTCCCATCCTGGGGGAGCCCCCTAGGGGAAGGAGAGCAGAGCTTTGCTCTGGGGCAAATCCCCGAGTTCACCCCGGCTTTGTGCAGGGGCAGGGGGCACTTTGGGCCTTAAATCCTTCCCTTCCCCTGGGCCCTTCTCCTGGGCCCTTCTCCTGGGCCCTTCTCCTGGTCACTTTTCTAAGGGAAATTCCAGATTCCAGGGATTTGGGTGCCTGTGCCTGTGCTGAGCTGCTGGCAGGGGTGGAGAGGATGAGGCTGCAGGTTTGGTGAAAATTAAATTCCAAATTCCAGGGATTTGGGTGCCTGTGCCCATGCTGAGCTGCTGGCAGGGGTGGAGAGGATGGAGCTGCAGGTCTGGGGAAAATTAAACACAAATTGTGCTGGGGATGTCCAGGTGCAAGCCGAGTGCCACTGCAGTGCTGGATTTCCCCCTCCGCCCTTCCCTGCCTTCCCAACCCCGAGCAGCCAGGGAAGGTGGCAGCTGAGAGGTGAGTGAAGAGGTGATGGGAAGTTTCCACCAGATTTGGAGAGGGAAGGGCAAATATTCATGGTAGAAATCTCATTTTGTCATATCAGAGGTGGCATCGGTGTATACAAACAAAGTCACTTGGGATTTTTGTAATTGATATTCTCTTGTAATTTTTTTAGGTTCAATTAAGGGTTCTTGCTGACATGTTGAAACACGTTTTCTAAAGCAAATACTTGCAAATTACGCCTATAGAAATTTAGGTTTCGTAGCTGACAGCTATGACTGGTTAACGTTGTCATATTGGAGGGACTTCACCACGTACCTCGCTCAGAAAGCTCGACCTTTTCAACCCCAAATTTGCTTTTATTGCCTTTTAATACTGACTTGAAGTATGACAACTTGGTTTGTACATGAATATTGCAGTATTTTATTTCCATATATTAAGAAAATAACATTTCCGCTCAGGATAACGGCGGCGCTTTCCTGGGAGGGAGTGGTATGAGTGTCATGACAATGTCATGTGATGGTAGAATTTCTTCATTGACGAATCTATAGTGGTTGTGTATACTTTATTTACCCAGCTTTGTGTTCCTACCCAAAACTGGAGCCTTTTGTTGTTTCCTCCCTGCTGAGCCCTCGGGGCTCCGGGGGCAGAATTGGAGCAGAGCCCTCGGAGGGCGCCCGGTGAGCGTGACCCGGACACCCCAAAAATGTGGAAATCTGACGTCACCTACACCCCAAAAATGTGGAAATTTGGCGTCACCAACACCCCAAAAGTGGAAATCTGGCGTCACCCACACCCCAAAAGTGAAATGTGACGTTTTTGGGTGCAGGCTGCTGCCTGCCCTCGATGCCTGCCCCAGCCCAGGGTCAGGCTGTCAGACCAGCACCGCCTCCACCGTGTGTCTCGTGGCCTTCTTTGACCAAAATCGGCTTTTTTCTGCCCTTTTCCTGTCCCTTTTGCTGGGGGGTCGCAGCGGGTCCCGCTGGGTGCAGGTGGGTTCTGGGAGCTCCCAGGGCTGGCTGAGCCCTTCCCCTGCTGCCAGCCCCGGGAATTCTGTATTTGTCTGTTCAGAACAACCTCTGGCGTAACAAACTATTGACTGTTCTTAGGCGGTGGGGATAAATTTCATTTTTTCCATGACTTTTCATGACTGACTTTGGCTGTAAAACTTTTTTTGGTTCAACAGCAAAAGTTTATTTTGGGGAGGGGTTTGTGTTTGATTTTTTTTTGTTGTTCTTGTTCCAAGATGTGTAATTCTTTTACGGATTTTTTTTTTATTATTCCTTTTTTTTTTTTGCCTTTTTCTAACATTGCTTCATTAAACAACTAAATATTTAAAAATGTAATATTTGGACCAGATGTTGTGAATAATAGTAGATAAAGCTATTTTATTCTGTATTTTTAAAGCTGTTCAGTATAAATAAACTCGGGCATAGATGCAGTGATTGTCACAGTTCCTTTGGTGGCGTTGGAGGATGCTGGAATGCTTTGGGTTGGAAGGGGTATTGATAATTAATTGATAACTGATTGATAATGGTGGCGTTGGAGGATCCTGGAATGCTTTGGGTTGGAAGGGGTATTGATAATTAATTGATAACTGATTGATAATTAATTTCAGGATCCAGGTGATGGCAAAACCCAGCCCAGAGCCTTTGGAGCTGGTGCTGCCCAAACCCCCAAGTTCTTTCCTCCCGTGGATCTGTGCTCAGGCTCAGGGACCCTCACAGGGCAGGAACAGGTCAAATTCCTTTTATTTGGGAAATAAATCCCCCCCTCCGGGCTCCTGGCTCCCCCCACTGCAGGACGTGGCAAAAATCAGGATTTAACCCCAATTCCACAGCCAGGATCCCCCTGTGCTCCCGCAGGTGCCACCCCAACCCTTGGATTTAGTTTTATTTTTCTGTTTGTGCCCACCCCAGGAGCTGAGGGTCAGGGTTTGGGGCTGAATCCTGGGGTTTGGGGCCCAATCCTGGGGTTTGGGGCCGAATCCTGGGGTTTGGGGCGGCTCCATTGTCCCTTCCCAGCACAAAGGGCCTCTCCTCCCCCAGCCCTCAGATGCTGCTGGAATATCAATCCTGACCCAGCCCCGCTCCCTTTGCAGAGTCAGTGCTTCCCTGAGCCAGATGGCTGCTCCACAACTTCTCCTGTTTTACACAGAAATCCAAGAAAATCTGGGGAAAAGGCCCGTTCCAGCCTGTGTCTGCAGAGAGCTTGTTTGGCTCAAGCAGCTGCTTTAATTATTTCTTTGTTTTGGGGTTGTTTTTGGTTTTTGGGTTTTTTTTTCCTTTGGTGTGGGCTGTTTCTCGGCAAATTCCTTAAAAAGAAAAAAAGCCCAGAGAAGCCACAAAGCACTGGGAAAGGTCAGGGGCAGACAAAGGAGGAGGGACACGGCCGCTGCTCCTCTGGAATACTGAACACCCCCAAACTCTCCCCAAACTCTCCCCAGGTGCCAGGAGGGACAGGCAGGGTGGGACCCCGATCCCGGGAATGCTGAGTGCCAGCTCAGAGGTAACTGAGACCCCCCAGCTGCAGCTGCAGCTTCCAGGCAGGTTTTATTTGAATTTATTTCCTCCTCCATCCCCTGCTCGGGGGCGGGTTTGGATCCGGGTGGGATCCCGGGTCCAGCCCACGGCCCCATCCCAACAAACAGCCAAGTGCTGCTGCCACTGGATATCCCGGGATTTGGGGCTTTTTAGGGCAGAAACAACCGCTCCAGCCTGTGGGATGCAGCCCACAAATTCCCTCTGGGAATTCTGGACAAAGCTGGAGCTGATTGTAAGAGCATTTCCAGCCCGGCTGCGTGAGATGGGGATTCCTTTGGGATTCTGGTCTTGGCAACGGGCTTGGAGAATCCCTTGGGATCCTGATCCTGCCATCGGGAATGGGGGATTTTTGGGATCCTGATCCTGCCATCGGGAATGGGGGATTTTTGGGATCCTAGTTGTGACAGTGGGGACGGAGCATCCTTCGGGGCTCTGGTCTTGGCACCAGGGATGGAGAATCCTTTCTGAGGTGCAGCCGGGCTGGAGCCAGGGCGTCCTTCGGGACCCCAGATCCTTTGGGAACATCCCTGGAGCACCTTCGGGATGTCCGGCCGGGACCCCCCGGCTCCCGGAGGTGCCATCCTTTGAGGTCCCAGCCCGGGCACCGGGGCTGTCCCCCGGGATGCGGGTTCCGGGATGTCCCCGCGCTGCCACCCCCGGCCCCGCCCGCGCCCCGCCCAGGGGCGGCCCTGCGGGCGCACCGGCTGCGAGCGGAGCGGCACCGGCCCCGGGTGAGTGCGGCGGGATGGGGCATCCCCATCCCCATCCCCATCCCCATCCTCATCCCCATCCTCATCCTCATCCCCATCCCCGTCCCCATCCCCGTCCCCCGCGCGGGGAGCGGCCCCGGGGCTGAGCCGCGGCCCCCGCGCCGCCGGGAGCTCGGGGAGAACCGCGCCGGGAGCGGGGGGGACCGGCCCGCACCCCGGTGTCACCTCCGCCACCCCCGGGCCACCTCAGCATCGCCCTCCGCGCCGGGCCGGGGCGGCCGCGGCTCCCTCCGGGCACGGCACCGTCTCTCCCCGTCCCGCCCGCCGCCGTCCCGGGGCCCACCGGGATCCCCTGGCGGCCACCGGCTCCTCCCGAGGGCTTCGCCCCGAGCGCGGCCCCCTGTCCCCGGGTGACCCGGCTCCCCCTCCTCCGCCGCTCCTCCGCCGCTCCGCCGGTGCTCCGCGCTCCCTCCTTCCCCTCTGCCGCTCCAGGACGGAGCGGCGGGGCTGGAGAACAATAGCGGCGCTGGAAAACAATGGAGCGGCCGCGGTTCCCCGCCGGGGGCTGCGGGCGGACGCGGGGCAGGAACCGCAGCCCGGCAGCGGCGGCTCCGCGGGCGGCAGCGCGGCCGCTCCGCCGCAGCATCCGCGGCGCGGGGTGAGCTCGGCTCCACTCCGCCCGCGCCGCCGCTGCCGGGGCTGCGCCGCCTCCGGGCGATGCTCCGGGCACCGGAGCGTCCCCGGGGCCGGGAAAAGCCGGGCCGGGCCGCGGGGAGCGCCGCGGCCTCCCCGGGGAACGGGATATTCCCACAATGCCTCGGCCGCGCCAAATCCGCGCCTCCCGCCCCGGCGGGGGATGCTGCGGGGCTGGGGTGGGACCGAGGCAGCAAAAACCCCCTAAAAACGCAGATTTCTTTCGGGAGAAGGGAAGAACTCGGCTGGAGAGGGGGTTTGGCCACTTTTCTCCTTGTTTTGTTGTGTTGGAGCTCGGCAGGAGCTGTGCGGGGCTGTGGATGCGGCCGGGCTGGGCTGCGGGGATGCCGGACGGGGTTTGGGGGGTTGTTTTTGGGGGAGGGAGCAAGTCTGGGCTTCGTGGGCTCCGCCAGGCCCGGGAGCAGCCGGGAGGAGGCAGAGAGGGCCGGGACCCTCCTTGGTTTGACCTGGGGCTGTGTTAAAAACGCTTTGCAAAGCGCCGGGAGAGGCTCGGGCCGGGCGGCGTCAGCTCCGAGGGGGAAACTGAGGCACGGGAACGGACACGGCCCCAAAGTGCCAGGGTTGAGCAATGCAGCGACTTCCACTTCGCCAGCGCTTTGATCTGGGTGCTTCCCAGCCTTTCCCGGTGTTTCCCAGCCTTTCCCGGTGCTTCCCAGCCTTTTCCCCGAGCCGGGCCGGGATGTCGGGGTCGGCAGTGCCGGGGGAGCTCCAGGAGCCGCCTCTCCAGAGCCAGCCCGGCTCTCTCCAGACCCAAAAAAGGAAGAATTTGCCCCTTTCCTCGGCGCTAGGAAGGGGATGTGATGACGGAGGCGAAGGTGGCAGAACCGGGGCGTAAACAGGAAACGACTCCTCAGCACGGGAGGATGAACCTGCGTTTTGGAGCTGCCCTTCCACCCCAAAAAAGGACTTTTTATATGGCTGCAGTTCATCCCCGTGTCCCCTTCGAGGGAATTGGGACTTGGGCATCGCCCCTGGACGTCACCGGGATGCTCCGGAGCAGAGCTCTGAGTGGTACCAAAGGCTCCACCTGGGCTGTGCTGCCCTAGGAGGGTTCTTTTCACTGAATTTGATGTTTTTGCTGTCCTAGGAGAGTTCTTTTCACTGAATTTGGTGTTTTTACTGCTCTAGGAGAGTTCTTTTCACTGAATTTGGTGTTTTTGCTGCTCTAGGAGAGTTCTTTTCACTGAATTTGGTGTTTTTGCTGCTCTAGGAGAGTTCTTTTCACTGAATTTGGTGTTTTTGCTGCCCTAGGAAGGTTCTTTTCACTGAATTTGGTGTTTTTGCTGCTCTAGGAGAGTTCTTTTCCCTCACTTTGGTGTTTTTGGCACCATTTTCAAAGCTGCCGTGTCCTTTAATCCTCCCTGAAGGTCCCCAGAACTTCTCATCCCTTGCCAGGGGACCCCCACGAGGGGGATTCTCATTCCTGCCACTCCTGCACTTCACACCTGGGAACCCCCAAATTTGGTGCCCTCCACACGCAGCTGCTGCCCCAAAAACCCCATGGGTTCACCCCAAACCCTTGAGCCAGCTGCCAATTCCCCTCCCGGTACCATTTCTGGTGGATAAATGGGATTATTCCTGCGTTGGTTCCCTGTGGGAGGATGGAAGGAGTCAGGAGAGGCGGCTGCAGGAGGAGGCTTGGTGCCGGATTTTGCCCAATTTTGCCAGATTTTACCAAAAACTCACGCAGCTCTTCAGGAAACCCAAAGCTTTGTCAGCTCTTCCTTTGCCGACTTCTCCTTCTGCTTTTTCTCCGAGCCCCAGGGCTGGGCTGGGTTGGTTTCCTGCCCTTCCCCTCCTGCCACTGAGGAGTTTTTGCTGTTGAAAATCAATTTTTCTCCCAGGGGTTTCTCCCAAGGTGTGGGATGGAACCCCGGGATTGCCGCCCTGCAGAGGCTTTGGGGTTTGGGTTCATCCTCTGGCAGGTTTTCCTGCCTTGGCCTGGATTTTGGGGTGGAATTGGGTGTTTTTCTTCCAGGAAAAGGGGATTTTGTGTCCCAGGGGACTGGGAGGAAGCACATGGCGAGGTGGGAGGTGGAGGAAACGCTTTTTGCTCGCCTCAGTTTCTCTTCCAGGAGAAGGGAAGGGAGGGAAGAGACGCTGAAAAATGAAATCCTGCCCAGGATTCCATCCAAGGGAAAGCACGACCCCAAAAATCCATTTTTCATCATCCCAAACCGCCCCAGTTCCCCATCCCGAGGCGTCTTTGAGGCCCGATTGCCAAAATCAGCATCCCAAGGGCTGCACCCCAAACCCTGTGTGAATCCCGTCCCGCATCCCCAAAACTGCCCCGAGCTCCGGGCCCGTCCCAGGGCGGGATTTTGGCATTCCCAGACCCCAAAATGGGCTGGGATGGTGCAAACCCGGCAGGAGCAGCCCGGAAAAGAGCCAAATAATGGGGAAAAAGGAAAATTCCCACTCCCCGCTCCCACCCGCGGCGGGGCAGGACCCGCGGGCCGGGAATGCAAATTCCC